TCAGTGGAACCTCCGTGGCGACGCGACGTGTCGTACACGAGCTGTGTTTGTTTGACGACGTGTCGTTGTACATGAGTGGTTTGTTTGTTTGTTTGGCGACTTGTCGTACACGATGTGTGTTTGTTTGGTAACGTGAAGTTTTTTCATTAAAATTTGACTCTTCGATATTCATACTTAAACAGCACCAAGTACAAATCTGTTGACCATAATTTCTTATACATATTTGTTACGTAAACACAATTTCTTCTATAAAAGTTGGGTTGATCAATGCATTCGTGTTGTTTTACTCTACACGTTAATCGACTCCTGTCTCCACCTATGCACCTTACCTAGAACGCCGTGCTAATTCCGTAGCTCGCCTGGCCTGGCTGGGGCCGAGCCGTATGTACACAAACAAACCAAAATATCTTGTTTAATGTCGTGGCTTGGCCTCTCTCAGTTAGCGCCTGTCACAGCTTTGGAAGGAGGGGATTTTGACTGCGCGTAAAACCAATTTACTCACCCATTAATCTACTTCGTTCAAGCAACGTTTAGAACAGTCGATGAAAGTTGGAGAAGCTTATAGTTTGTGTAATTTAGGTTTGATATATCCTAAAAAAAAAAAAAAAAGAGAAAGAGTTTGGTTGAGTAACAAAAATGTTTTATATTATTGGATAGGGTTGTTATACAGGGATGCCTTAATAGAAATAATGTTGGTAGATTGTGCATTTTCAATGTTCATTTTGAATTTTTTGTGTTCAGCAAACTAATAAAATTTGCAGTTTTTTTATAATTTTTGGTTAAGAATCTTCCAATACCAAAAGTCCACCTTCAGCGGACCCTTGCTAAATGGAGTACAAAATGGTTAAAACCCTTACTTAAATATTTTCTAGAAGCTGAGTCAAGTACGAGTAACAAATTAAAACTAAAACATGGCAATTTAAATGTACACAATCGAAACCGCACATTCGCCTGCTTCCAAATTATCCTCGAGTCAACCTTGCCACTCAAATTGCCTTAAGAAAATGAGGCTAAACTAATGAGGCGTAATAAAGTATAAATAATGAGTCCGAAGAACATAATTTCCCTGGGCGGACGCTTCAGCCGCGGGCGAGGACTCAGTAATTTGTCGCCAGGTAAATCAGTGTCGCCAAAAAAGGCGCGTCCGATCGCGGGCCCGCGGGAAAACTCCGCGATGAGTTGATACCGGCCCCCGAGGGGAAGGGGGGGGGCTCGTAATTCGACAAGTGTCACTCGCCCGAAGGGTCACCTCGACCTGGAAAGTTGATTTTTGAAACGTGCTTGAAAACCGATTGGACGAGTCGCTGCGGATCCCACGGGGAAATTGATTTTGAGATTGTGTTGCCCCCCTCCCTAGATTGTGGTGCCCCCAGATAGCCTACTTAGCATGCGGGCCCCGGGTGGCAATTATTGGCGGCAGAGATTAAATAATCGTTACACAAGAGGCGCACCTGTGTGCGTTATTGAAATTTTACGCTCTGATGCTTTGATCGTTTGTCGCCTGCGTTTCTATGAATGTTTGATGCGATTTTAATTGCCTAAAGGAAGTATGCGTTTGATGATAGTTGTGTATAAGCCACGTACGTCGTAAGGGTAATGTTTTCATGTAAAAAGTGGCCTAGAGATTTCTATGTCAACAAAATGTCAATAAAACCTTGTAACTTTAGTTGTTTTTTAAATATATTTTTAAGAGGTTAATGGCTTCTTTTATCTGATAAATTATCCCAAATTATTTCCAAAACACCTCACTAGGGACAAAATCCCATTCTCAGCTTTGAATACCTCACTTGAATTCTATAAATTACCCAACAGCATCTCCAAATAATCCCACGTCGGGGATAAAACATATATTAGTCCTCGAGTGTATGTTTTACTAAATATAAATCACCTAATACCCCTCCACCTAGTTACCCCCTTTATACCCTAAATCAAAAGGAAAATCTCATATTAGCCCATGAATTTCTAGCATATAAATTTCCCAAAATTATCCACATCAGAGATAAAATCCACCAATCTGCGAGTGGTATTTGTGTCACACATCGAAGATCAAGTCCCATACTTAGACAACCTGTAAATTACCCAACATCGACCCCAATTACCCCAAAACAGGGATAAAATCCCGCCGCGAGTGGCATGTGTCAAGGCGCGTCCCCTGTTTGCTTTTAATTACCGCCGACAAATTGTCCGTGTCTAATGTCCGGGACGACACTCGTGTAGAAATTATAGTTATTTTGTGACGGTAATTCGCCGTGACGCGGCCTATTTCCGTGCCGTGACACCTGCACTTAGTGTCGTCTGTGACATGTGACATCCTAGCTGATAGGTGTGTTGTCCAGGAGTGTGATAAGTGCTGTTTACAAGTTGTGCAATATAAAAGTTGCATTACACCTTCCGGTTTGGTATGTTAGACGTTGATGTACTGAACGTGTATGTTGCAAATTAAATTCTTTTTAGGCATTGCAAAACTGTATGATATTTTCCAAGACAGAAATAGATCATTTAAACCACAAAACATGAGCAGTAAGTGTATGTTTTTGCACGTCTTCAGTTTCTTGAGGAGTTATAATGTGATTTTTTAAGGTCAAAAGACAATTGTGGAATAATTTATTTCGTCTATCTATGTAATTGACTCTCATTCCAATATTTTAAACACTAGGCTACCTAGCGTTATTTCAGTCTACAAATAATATACAAATAGTAGGCTATTGCAATTTTTTTTAGAGTCAGGAGTGTAAATATTAAGTATTGTACATTTTAAATTTTAGGTGTAGTAAACTTGAATTTAATTCCACCGAAATGTTAAGGTATGGTTCTGGTCAAAACCGAAATAAAAAACTGATTGTTATGTAACTTACTACTAGGTATAAACTTTGACTATTAGTCCAATAGTCAATGTTATAATGCATTATAATAGTTTGAGTAAGATATAAATTGACATTAAAATAATAAGTAAACATCGTATGCATTAGTTTCACCTGCCAGTATTCAAACAATCTTAAAATATACACACTTTTCCACGAACTTTCCAATACTTTTTATCCATTGTCCCCCCAAAAAAGCTTATATGTTTCAAAATGTTACAAAAAATCCTACTTTTCAGTCAGAGGACAACACTAAAAGCTTACTGTTATAAACAATTTACAATATTAACATGGGTCAGAGAAGTTACTAAGTAAAATCGAACATCTCTATCTAAAATACACAACCTTCTCGAGTAACTTTATTTACACCTGAATGAACCTTGGATATGCCTCAGGGAGGGGCCTCTGCAAAACCTGTTAGCTATGTAGAAAAATTTATATAACTATAGAGTGAAAACTGTATAAAGATGTCATTATAGCTTTTGCAAAACTGATTATCCACACTGAAAACTAAAATATGCCAAAAATTACGAAAAAAACGTAAACATTGAAAATACTCAGAAAAATGTTAAACGTTGAAATAAATTATCAACACAAAACAGCATATTTTAATAAGTGAAAAGTTTTAAATTCACCATATAGGTCTATTTACGGATCCAGTAAAAGTTAAAGGATTAGACGACCATAGGTACAAATATCCAAATACAGTGGGACCAAAATAAGATTTTTGAACGTAAAATATTGTTCTTTAATGTAGGTGATAAGCTTACGTCTTAGGTATTTTAGTGAATCTTATGATTCTTTGAATGGGGCCTCTGTTTCCGAGTCAATTACCATGTTAGCATTTCATATAGTTCCAGTGTTATATTTTCAGTTATAATTAACAAAGATATCACTCCAACGGTTTGGATACTATTCATTTATAAGGTTAACTGCAAATACTGCAGCATTGTTCTCGTTTGAGCCCAATAAGGTTTACCTATCACAAATAAATCATATTTTCACACAAACCACAAAAACACTAAGCATTACCCCCCCCCCCTTAAATTAAAACCACTATAATTATCATTTAACCACAATGCAACAAAACAGTGTCACACCCGTGCAATCAAAACGCAATTAAAACCGGACGTTTAAGCGACACGGGTGAAAACCGGGAATCTTCGCTGCAAGCCTGTTATTATTTACGGACGGTGATTCCGTCGTACAGCAGATAATCTAAGTTGATTATCTCTAGACTGTAGTGCCACAAATTAGGAGGGGAGGTCAGCCGGGGACGGGACAAACCATGAAAAATGATGTCTCCCAAAACCAATCTAACTTTTATATTGGACGAGTTACTTCTTTGGGTTAATGTGGTCTTGTTTCGGACGATGTATGGGACTGTCTCGAAGTCTTGTGATGGTTAAATGTAAAATAGAGTTGTTATTGTGTAATGGAAATTAGTGAACGCGATTTGTTTTAAAATATGGAATTTTAATGTCGATAAATTTGTTTAAATGTGTGTAAATGCGAATGCTTCGTAGTTTTAGAACTATAAAATTTAGTTAAATGAACAGTTATGTAGAAGGGATTTTATTGGAAATAGTATAGTAGAACTGTCCTAAGTTATTTAATAATGCAATTTGAGGCAACCAAGTTAAATCTGCTTGGTAAAATTTAATTATTTTAAAAGATTGAGCTTACAAAAATATTCGGGTAATCGTTTTGAATTTTTGAAGTTATTTAATAATTTAATTTGTAATTAAGTATAACTTTATCGTAAAATGGGTTGTTTATGATGAAATATGTTTTTTTTTTTGTTACTAAAACACATTTTTCTTCTATCATGTATAGGATTGTTGATTACATATGGCTACGAAGCCTAATGATTCTTCTAAGGGCGTGTAAGGGGCTTTTGCCTTACTTTTAATGTAAATTCTAGTGGCTCAAGACACACATATATTAAGCTGTATGTTTTTATTTCAAGAAGGCATTGAAGAATACCAGTATAGTACAAAGAAGAGTGTTTATGAAGATTCCACGATTACAAAACCCCAATTGTTCAATACATATGCTACATCATAATAATAGTTGGAACATTCCATAGATATTCAATATTAGCTGATTAGTTGCTAATAAGCTCGTATCTTGTTGCAGTGGGCGTCAGTGGCTTCTTGGTTCTTCAGGCCTGAAGCCAACTCAACCCCAACCAGTGGCGCGGCCTCCAACCCTGCCAGGCCGGCCGAACCTCACCTCGCACTCGCCCCTACCATCTGCACGGTAAATACCAAATAGATTTCTGTCACAATATAGCCAGAACACCATGGAACTACAACGTCACTCATATCATAGGGTGCGGTTAAAAAGACAGTGTTCATTTGAATTCACTTTCATGATTATCACGCTTAGAAACCGTAGTAATAACTATAAACACTCAGAGTTTACCCCACAAAAAATTCGCCGAATTCACTAAATTACCTGAGTAGCCACGTTTATAGTGAAGAAGTTGCTGGAACGACTCCAAAATCAGTTCTGTACCAAGATCTGTACCACGAATGTTAAAACAGAAATTGTATGGATCATAACAAATAAAAATGACCTCATTGGCATGAAAGTAGGCATAATTGTAAACAATTATTAGTGTGTAAACAAGTCACTGGAACTGTGAAAATACTAAAAAATCTGCTGTTAAGTTAAGGCTAATAGTATATTCGGGCCTGTGACGTCATGCTTTTATGCTTATGATCCATACAGTTTCTGTAATATTTCTGATACCGTTTGGTTACTCATTATTCTATTAATTATTGAAGTTGCCGACTAAATTACTTACGTAATGCCGTCACAGCTCAATAAATATGTCAATTCAGGACATGTTTCGGCATTAAAGCACCATCGTCAGCTTCAGGTACATGGAGAGTTGATCAGTAGTTTAACACCGTCAGAAGATTAACACAGTACGAAACGGCACGAATAAATACATAAAAAAATCAAATATTTCTGCTGATCAACTCTTTGTACCTGAAACTGACGATGGAGTTTTAACACCGAAACATGTCCTGAAACATTTTATTGAGCTGTGACGGGATTACGTAAGTAATTTTGTCTTACATTATGTCCAACAGCTCAGGGGCTACACATACGTGGATTTTAATTGTTGACATTAGGACAGCTCCCTTGAAAAAGACGTTAAAAATACTTACACCGCAAACACAACGCAAAATGTAGCTGAATTCACACGTTGCGAATCCAAACAGACCATATTGAATTCCTCCGTGAATTGCCGAGGCCGGTCGACCGGAACGTCTCTCATTTGGCTGTCAGAGACCCAAGAGACGCAGAGACGAAGAGAACAGTCGTGCGGTGTAGTCACGCAGCAAGCTACTATATCTTGGAAATTGGTATAATTTATCTAGATTCGGGTGGGCGTAGCACCGCCACTTACGTCCCGTACCGGAGATTTTGTCGTCTGCTAATTGCCGGTTGTGGGATTGCCCGCCACCTGGCCGCCATTATACACGGATTTAACTATATTTGGCGCGTAATGTACCGTCCGTCTTTATTAAACGTTCGTCGAGTGGTGTGGGAAATGTGGTTGGTGAAATTTTGTTTAGGTTTTGTTTGGGGTGTTTTTGTAATTAATTGGAATTACTGGAAGATGTTTGGTTTTGGATGATAATGTGTTTTGATTTATTTATAAACATGTGTAATGGACGGATAAAATATTCGATATTTTAACCACATGTTTGCTTAAATTTCTAGGTTTTATATTAACAGATTAAAACGATTATAATAAAATTGACAGCGTTGAGACGATCCTGGCCAACTTTTAATCCAAAAAAATTCATTGTTATTTTTTCCGGGGTTAAAAAATAAATTAGTATAACACACAACTTCTCTAATATCGAAATGGTTTCCCATTGTTCAATAATTGGTTCCAAAAACCCACATTGTATGAATTGCATTTTTACAACAATCAAATAGGCATAGTTTTTGTTATAAAAATATTAGACAGTGTCTGATAAAATTACAAATCAGTGTTTTTGTCTAAATTTCAAACTCACAATGCCAAAAAGCGAAAAAATATCGTTAAAAATATATCGCAGCCATGTTAAACATTTACACGATGTTTATTTTATCTTTCTTATGACATACCATTACCATTAGAGCTCTCTACTAAACAAGAAACTAGGGTAAAACGAAGGAAAGAGTATAGATAACCTTCGATTGGTCGTTAGTGTTAAAAGCTCTTTAGTCATAAATTCTGACGTCGCCAAGTTTGACACTCGTCCCAAGGCTTGCAATTGCACATCATAGCGACATCCGGTAATGTATGCGTATGACCAGTCAGACGTTCCCATGGTTACCGTCATACCGAGGCTGGGTGACCACCGGTGACGTCACTTACGACTTCCGGTACCAAACCGGAAATCCAACCGGCTAAGCCGACCGTGGGAATATCGAATACAGGTCATAGCTAAACGGATTAAGTGCGAGAATCCGGTTCGATATGTCGTGAACTGTGTAAATAGTGGTGTAATTTGGAGTGCGAGACTTCGGTCGTGGAGTATCGGGTATGAGTCTCGTCAGTCACCAATGTATTTTGAATACTGTATGTGATATTGGTGGTATGTTGGCCTAGTGGTTCGTAACCCATCTTGCTAAAGCATCAACAACACAAAGTAGTATTGGTTTCGAAGTGAGAATTTCCCCTGTATTGAAGAACTCTCTCAACGCAAAGCCGCGTAACAAATTTTATTTACCACTGTTAATAGAAGATTTAACTATTAAAAACGTTAATTTTCTAGCTAAAAAGTACTGAAATTGTAATCATCGTTCTGCATAGAAAAAATTTTATGAAAAACTGGTTGGATTCTTCTTGTCCATCTAGACGTCAAAATTGTTCGTGTACACAGTGCAAAAATAAACGTATATTTAAAACAAAAAACCGTCTACAACTTGTTTTATCTTCGAAATATTAATTAGGGAATGAGATTAATTAAAATTTCCTAATCAAATCTGTTTTGAATATAGCACAAACGTATTTTTATATAGGAAGGTTGAAAACAGAAAAATATCACAATACCTCAGACGTGTTTTTATTTTACAAGCAATTACTCTTATGGGATATTATAATCCTAGACAGACGGGTTCAAGCCCCATCAAACACCATACAGTCGTACAACACTGGGGAGTATTTCATTTGGTCCAAAATCGTTTGGTCCACAAGTTGTAAAACAGTTCGTTTGGTCCAAAATCGTTTGGTCCAACACTTGTAAAACAGTTCGTTTGGTCCAAAATCGTTTTATCATCCAGTTGGGGAGTATTTCATTTGGTCCAAAATCGTTTGGTCCACAAGTTGTAAAACAGTTCGTTTGGTCCAAAATCGTTTGGTCCACAAGTTGTTAAACAGTTCGTTTGGTCCAAAATCGTTTGGTCCACAAGTTGTAAAACAGTTCGTTTGGTCCAAAATCGTTTGGTCCAAAAGTACAGGCAAAACCAGAATTACAATTGTGTATTGTGGAGTAAACTTATGAAATAGACTGTACGTTTCACTGTGGACCATTCGATCGGGTCGTTTTATCCAAAACTCTACGAGTTCGTTTGGTCCAAAAGTATGAACTATTGCGTCCCTCACATAGAAGGCGTTCAAATAATCGCCGTCACGTCGTCAACCCAACCTCCTGCCTTCCGAGGCCTATTTGTTGTTTTCTGTTACGTTTCTAAATAATTGATATGTTTGCATTTATATACACGTACATATACATATATTTATTTATATATAATGTGTTTGTGTAATGTTTACTTTTTATCCCCAGTCAATCTTAAAACAACGCGTTTTAATTCCCTAGATTTGTGGATAAACATTGACTTTGCTTTGAGTTTGCATTTAATGTTAAACAGATGGTTTATTTAATCTATAATATTAAAACGAAACAGTGTTTTTTATTTCACGATTCTGAATCAACCACTCGACGGATTTTCATGATTTTTGTGTTGCAAGAAAGATAATTTTGAGAACTAGGGAATGTCGAAGCCATAATTTTAGTTTAGGGTCCCAGTTTTTTAGAAATTAAGTTTTAATTTTTAAAAAGTCTAGCAGCCGACGCTAAGATTCTAAACTAGCTTTTGGCATAAAATAATTTGCTTAACATAACAGCTGTAAACATTCAGCTTTTGTTTCACAAATTCAGCATTTGAAAAAAATGTAAAGACATATTCAGGGTTGACTTATTTATACTATGTGTAATGCTAATCATTGATACGTTCAATTCTTCTTTAAGAGGATGACCTTTCTGTCATGACAGTAAATGGTAAAAAAATGGTGATCACTCTTTGTGAAATTTGTTTTACAGTTAAGGTGTAGTGTTATTAAAAAAATTCCCACTTAAGGCCAATCAAGTGGGCCACGGTCCGTAATATCGTACAAAAAGTAACATGCTACTGCAAAACATCTGTCAAGATATAGGTACTACTGTAATTTAAGGTTTCTGTGTTTGGATGTCATTAGACACGATAAGAGCACACTGAACTTCTTCTGCAGATGAACAATCTGTTGGTTACGAGAAATATAAGCCGAATTAATAAATGCCACAATTCAAGCGCTTTAAATTGACTCTGGCCTGAGAAACTGTTTATAGTATGGAGTTTGGGCCTGTTTGATGTCACCATCTGGGTAAGTAACTTAGAGAGATCAATGATTTTTGTTGCTGAGTAGCGCCGGTAAACATGTACAACACTTCTTTAGTTGAATAACATTCATTGGCTCTATTGTGTATTCTTTCACTAAGCTGAATTAATACATTAAAGTAAACTCTTTAAAAGTCTGTAATAAACTGAAATTTAGGATTAATAACTTTCTATAACTTATCATGCATTTATTCATAAAATTATTAAAAATTTAATCCAGTAACTGAAAACCACTATTATTTAAAAAAAAAATATGGGCAACGTGCCTGAATGTTTGTCTCAGACAATTATGCATATCACAAAGAGTAGACCTATAATTGATGTACCTTAATGATATGTCTATGATAAATAAAAGTAGCCTATTTAACATTCATTTTCATAGACTGTAAAAGCCTTCTGCACATTTATTATTCTGTATCGTATTACATAATGGGAAATTGTCCAATGATTAAATACACATGTATAACAATTATCTCGTGATGATCTGTCAGTCTTGAATAATAAGACAAAATATCGGCAAAAGTAGTCAAAAAGGCAGACACCAACCAGTACAATAGATATAACATAATGCAATAAGAAATGATTGAAAGAGT